ACGCACTCCCATCAACTACCCGCATTAGGCCAGCCCGGTTACCATTAACGTCGAACAACAAAAAGGAAAGCCCAGCCCAGTTCCACCTTCCTCTTCCACAACTCGCGAAACAACCCAATTCAAATCCCACCTCCGGTCACCATACCACTCACCGTCCCCAAAATTTCCCTCCCATCAGTCACTCCCGCCGTCACGCGTCAATCAAATCGGTGAACCGACGTGACGGGTCCAGCCCCACCCGCCTCCTCATCCGGGCGCAGCGACGTCAAACCCTCCGTCAAATCCCACAGTTACATCACCGTCTCCTCGTTCCTAACTTTTATGGCAACTTTAGAAGCCTACAGGCCCTCCAACCTTTCCCAATCCGGCAAAAAGATTCGCGTTTATCTCGGCCCGGTTCTCGGAAAAGGAATTTATCGTTTCGAGTCCAGTTCACAAAATGGGCCGTGGTTTGCGGGCCTGGCGGGCCCGCGTGGGGCCGAATGAATGTACGTATGATGCGACGTGTCGATGTAGAATGTGACGGCGATTGGACGGTGGGATTGAAGATTGATATGGTGGATTCGATTGATATTATAGTGAAGGAACGAAAAATCGTTCAAATAAATAGGCACGCTAATAAATCGTGGATTGCGATGGAACACTCAAAATTAGAGGTGTAAATCGGGCGAGTCTTGACTCAGTTCTGTTTGGCTCATTTGTATTTGAGCTCAAAAAATGTGTTCGTGTTCGGCTCGGTTGCTTTTCAAACCCAAACCCGTTCACAAACAAAGAGTCATTTTGACAACCTTAATCAGATAGTCATAAGATGTTAAGGATTCGGGCAAGATTTTAAAATTATTGTTTATATTAAAACATCATTTGAATCTAATTTAATAATTATAATTTTATTTTCTTAATTAATACTTTTAATTGATTTTAAATCTTTGTAGTTGTAGCTGATTTTAAATCTTTGTAGCCTTATAGTCAATTAATTTTTTAAAAAATGTTACTCAGCAATTATAGTCAAAACATGTTGAACACAAACAAACAAATATTTGTTCGTGTTATTCGTATCCGGCTCGTTAACTTAGCGAACGAGTTGCACACGAGCTGTTCGCAAGCAACGAGTCATTTTGATAGCCCTACTCAAAACTTCTATTAATCATCGATGTGTAATATTTTCTCGCTCAGAGTAGAAATCTTGAAGCCTCCAAGAAATTATATATAGTGACATTTACATATTTACCACTCATTTTTTTATGAATTTACATATCTAACTCCTATAGCTTTACATTTTTATAAATCTTTCATATATTTGAGTCTCAAATCGTCCTTTAGATAAAACACGTCTTAAGAGTTAGAGTCTGGAGCAAGAGAGTAGGAGAGAGCAAGAGAGACGGTCAAAGAATTCCTGAGAGAAGAGTTGGGGTGAAAATTCTTTTTTCATCATTTGGCCTCATATTCATAGAAGGTCTTTTTGTATACTTATAGAAATGAGGAAGCGATTATGAAAATGACCATGAATTGCTGAAAGGGAAGAGCGATTATGAAAACTGCTCTCAATGTATTTAATACACTAATTTAACATAAGGTTTGTATTGCTATTTAAGTTTGATACAACGGCCATTAGCAGATCTATGCATTTAGCTTAGCTGTCTAGGGCGACCGGTTGCGTGGTGATCGCTCCTGCCGAGGCAACATTGATTGATCGATTGTGATCGAGCGCCCCTGAAAGAAGCTTACGTGGTTGGGACTGTAAGCATGGTCCGTCGATTGAATCCCTTGACAGTGTGCTTCTGCCAACCCAATAGAGCGCTCAATCATCGAACGAGTGGTTTAGATTGTGTTCCCTCGACCTGTCGCTTAGATTTTTCAGTCGTTGTCTTTAGCTGCCTGATTTCTTTGAGATTTGTGCTAGCAATTTTGGTGTATACATTTTCGTTCCGCGAGTTTTTCTTCTACTTGATATTAACAACTACAATAAGGATATGGAAACTATTAAACAACAAGTGACACATAAATAAAAAGAATTGATCGAGTAATTGACTTCCCCTTGGGTTCCGCGCATGGGGCGCCCTATAAATAGGGTGGTGGGCTTGGCATGGTTTTCTTCGCTGTCAATGATACTCAGATAATTTGATTTCTCCCATAGCTACAAGTACGAATCGGAGCGTACTATCAGATCCTCGTCTCTATAAAGAAGAAGAAGATATTGAAGAATGACAAATAGTCAGAACTAGAACCAACATTAGTCGATCTAGTCGAATCGTCAGACGACGCAAAAGGGTTGTCGCTAAAAAGGCTTCGTTAGGAGGCTCTAGCGTTTGAGTCAAACATAAGTGCAGTCGGTGAGGGCCAGTACGACATGGCTGGTGAAGAGAACCAGGTCAGTGAAAAGGAGTCGAACGGAGTGACAGTCGTCAGTTATTCCCAGCCTTTGCCTCAAAAATACGAAGGTATCTTAAGAGAAAGAGAAGCTCTCAAGGACCCTTTTTGAAATGGGTAGAATTTTTGGAATGCAAAAATTTTCTTTGGTTGTTGGAAATTTTCTTACACCTCTGTAAACATTTTTGTAGATGTAGATGAATTGATCAGATCTGGGGGACACGAAGATGGCAGGCCTTTGAACGACAGTGTGGAGTACACATCCTCTGCAGTGGGTAGTTTGTAGGTCGAGTACACCGAACTTCTGCCATTAACGGATCAATGAGGGTACCAGTTGTCCGCTTCTTTGCCCACGATAAGCCACCAACAAGAGCGACTAGGGTAGTGCTCTCCTTCCCCTGGATTCACAGAGTGGAAAGTGGATGCGATCGGACCTTTGACGGTGTTAGTCAGTTCTTCTGAGGGAGTGATTTGATGCTTGATTTTAGATCTTGTGAGAGGGTTGTCAGCTCGATTGGTGACTACATATTCAGAAGCGGGGGCTCTCTGGATGGAGTGGCCTCTTTGCGTAGCGGACTGGCAGGTGTGGAGTGCGAGCTACGAGCACTTCGTGAGTCGTCTGCCCTGATTGAGTTCCAGCGTGCCATCGATCAGATGGATCACATGAGGCAAGGTGGAGAGTTAGTCCTCCGTCGACAAATTCAGAAGGGTTATGCCTGACCGAAGCCTGGGAGGATCAATTTATAAAGTACTTTGATCCACCTCAAAATAACATGTTTTTAGTGCAAATTTTATAAGCATTTTATGTACATTTTTAATGACATTGCGCTTTAAAAGAATGTATTTTGCATATTTTTGGTTTCAGGTACGTGGAATGGATATTTAGAGAAAATGGGGAAAAAAATGAAGCCAAAATGATGATTTTTGTGTGGCGCAATCGCGCCACAACTCCACCGTCGAGCGGGAACTCTTATCGCCACAACTCCACCGTCGAGCGGGAAGGGCGTTATAGCGCCCCAGACTGGCGCTTTAGTGTCAGTAACTACCTTTCTAGAAGATACATCTAATTTGTCCAAGTTTTGGAGTGGTATTTAAAGCTACCCTTGGTTATTTTCTATTTTTTATTTAATGAGAATGATTTGGCCAAATTTAGAGATCATTTGGAGCCTCAAAACATCAATTGGGCGGCAATAGTAAGTTAGGTTTTTCATATTTTGTGTTCAAGTGTAAGTATGAGTGTGTTTTAGTGTGAAGAAGTTTGGAGATTGCTTAGAAGAAACTCCAGAAATTTGTTTGGGGAGAAGATATAAGGTACTTTGTATTTGTGTTTGAGTTTTGTTGTAAAACTTCGATTTCAATACAAATGTTTTGTGAGATTCGAATGATTTAAAGATTTTTTTTACTCTTAAAAATTGTGATGGTATTTTCACCGAATCTTCATTTACTTTACAAACTGACTATTTGTGAGGTTAAAATCTGTTGAGAAACATAATGTCCTCAAAGGGCTATGATTTCACCCAACTAGTGGATACCACACTTTATTCTAGGCAGAGTCATTGCGATCACCTAAGGGGGAGTGCAAATAAATAGAGAGATAAGTTTTGATGGGCGTATAATTGGTTAGATTTAGAGTGAAAAGCTAGATTCTTATCAATTTGGCTTAAGGTTTAGTACCCTGACTCTGGGATTCGGTCATTTTTTGTTATGTGTCTCTCTACATTTCTTCTTTTTCTTTCGTGTTCCAGTCATCCTCTCCCTCTTTCTTTTTCATATTGCAATGACTTCTAAGTACTATCCCACCCTCTTTGGCTCTGTCAGGGGCACTGATCCTTCATTCTTGACAAAGAAAGATGCAGAGGATTTGTAGAGGAGGTATGTCTTGGATGACTGCATAGTCCTTCGGACGATGCCAAAATCAGTTAGCGTGACAGATAATGTGAGCAAGGAATTAGTCTTCTATCAGGACTAGTTCAGATATAGTCTTTGTTTGCCCCTTTGTGATGAGCTCCAGAGCGTCTTTAGTACATACGGGGTCATTCCGGCTCAGGCATTTTCAAATCTTATAGCTGCGATAATGACATTCAACCTTTTTTGTCGTCAAGAGATGGTCTCGTGGTCAAGCGATTTGTTCAATTATTTTATATGTTTAAGGTTGTCAAGTAATATTTTTCCATGTTCTCCACTGAAAAGAAAATTCAACTACTCGAGGTTGAAAATAAGATAAAGGATTGGTGAAAATAGTTTATGGTCAGCTGATGCTCTGACGATTGGGGGATCTAGACCAAACCATCGGAGTCGATGGGAACCAAGGTGAAGTCTGATACACAAAAAATATATGCATTTTTAGATCCATATTTTATACTCATTTTTGGTGATATTGCACTTTAATAGAAGATATTTTTTATATTTTATTGCAGGTTGTTGATTTTTAGGACTTGGAGCAAAAAAAAAAACAAAAAAGATGAAATTTGGAGTCAAAATGGAATTTTTGAAAAATTGTTCAGTGCCGACGACTCCAGACTGGGCGCTGACGGCGTCGTTTGGCAAGACTCAAATTTAATTAAATAGCCTCTGGGGCCGCCG